CTCTCTCTCTCTCTCTCTCTCTTGTTTTACGCTTGAAAAGATGCTTTCCTAGAACGCTCAATAAGTGATGATATCTATCCATCTACCTATCTATTTTTTTTTATCCAATGTGTGTAAACCTGCTTGATTAATACTTCATTATCATAAAAAAAATTTTCTTTATACGTAAAATATTAAAAAATCAATGTATTATTAAGTATTAACTCTGCCTTTCTAAAATAGTTACAATATTAAATAATGTATTACACTTACGTCATAATTTTCCACGATCGAGAACGTTGGTTCTATTTTTATTTTGTGTTCTGGACATTATAATCTCAACGGCATAATTATCATGATTATTGTTTTTTCATTTAATAACTGCTACATAAGATCTCATAATTAATTCAAGACGTTTTTATCGTCGATAAATCAATACAATGTATCAAATAAGTATTCGCGAAAATAAATAATTAGTTTATTTTCGGATTAATTATTATTGTATCTTTTTGCGGTATATCAAAGAAAACGATACTAACACAAGAAGCTCGGATTTTACGCACAACGCCAACAGTATCATGACTTCGAACACCTGTCTGTCATGTCGCAAACAGCTGACTGTCGAACTATGTTGCGGTACGTTGCGCATCGTTTAACAATCAATACTACGCGAACCGCCTATCTACTCGCTCGGAAATACAATGAAAAGAATATTGGATGAATTGCTACTCTCTACAATTCTCAAAAAAGAATTTTCTTCTGAAGCAACAGTTTCATTATGTAGAGCAATGCGTCCGCGCATGTGTGAGTGCAAACAAAGGCCAAGTTGCGACATGCGCATACAATTTTGCTTTTCAAGGAAATGATCCTGACGTAACATTTAATTTATTCAAATACTTATATATCTTTGAATTAATGATATTTCAACTGATATAATTAAATTTATTTAATGAATTATACGATGGGATAAATGTAATATTTATTATTATTATTGGATTAAAAAATGTATATAAGATATTTTATATATTGTCCATCCTTGTATTGAATTTTTATAAGTAATTAATATTATATTTAATGTAAAAAAGAATACGAAATAGCATGCAATAACGAAGCGCACGGCGTAGGACTAATGTTAGTGCTCCAATTGAACATAACTGGTACAAGGTTCAAAGGAAATCATTCAACAAGCTTGAAATCGCTTATTACAGTTAAACTCGCTAGTTACGTCATGTAATTGCTCATTGTCTCCTAACAAAACTGTTTTTTTCAAGACAAGAAATCACGCATTTGTAATTGCGTCATCAATCAATTGAGTAATTATTTAATCGATTGTTATTGAAAGAAGAATCGATTGTTAACCAAAAAGTAACTATATAAAGTAATCGATAATTAGGAAAAGCAGAATTTTTAACATTATATGTAATCTGTCATTAACCCGTTATATTATTATCAACGATAAATCAACGATAAATATTTTGATTTCTAAAATTTCGATGTTGTGCACACAAAATAAAATTATCTTATTTCGTATCTTAATTAAGTAAAATTATTATTGATAAATATTTATTCTCGATAATAATAAAATTACGTATAATTTATTAAATATTAATTAATACGGAGATGACAAGAAAGTAATATTTAATTAAAAGAATTTTATGCTATTTTAAGAAGATTGTGCATATTGATTAAGCTTATCCTTGAAAATATTCTTATTCTCATTGATAAAATATTTTTAATTTCTTAAATTCAACATCACGCGCAGAAATGCATAATGTGATGTGACATTTCGTAGTATGAATCTGCATATGAATGTCTTCATATTCTATTATTTGATTATTGTACATATATTTTTAATCTGATACATATGAATTTTTAACAAATAAAATTACAAATTACAAAAAATATAAAAGCGTCATCACAATTTTCAAATTATGGAGGAAAAACATTTTTTAGGTCTTTTTTTCATTTAAGTGAAATAATGAAACTGCATTTTATTATTAAAAGCTTTTGTTATTATAACAATCGTTTCATATTGTAAGTCATATTTAGTCAAACAGATATTTTTTCTTTGTTATTCTTTTAGTAAAAATTTTTAACAAAACAGTCAAATCATGAAGTATTTACAAAATAAAATTTGCAACAAAACACTCAAAGAAATTATAGTACATGAGTATAGCATCTAAAGTAAATCTGAGACTTTCTCGCGTTACGACAGGTCATCAACCTCTGGATAGCGGCAGTGAAGGTGAAGCGTATAATTGCCATGCTTTCTTACAGGGAAGTTACTCTGACGTGTTCTGTAGTTTAACATTATTATTGTACGCTACAGAAATGTCAATATTGATTATTTAATAAGATGACGTATATGACAGAAGATTTGTAGAATTGAAAATCTACGTCTATACGTCAAACGTGACAGCCAATATGCAGAATTGTATAGGATATTTAAAAAGAATCCCTTATTGTTGAAAAGCGATATATAAGCGGTGAAATATATGTATAAACAATACTGTTCTTAGAACTGTCACTATTGTGATAATCACTATTGTGATGAACAGTGACAGACGCTAAGATAAATGATATACGGACCAATACACGCGCCTCAGATGCAGCAATGTGAGAGAATCACTCTTGATAAGAGCTCTAGAGTAGATGTTGTGTATCTCTAAGAATACACAACATCTACTCGCGAATGCACAAAGTACGTAAGAGAGGATATAAAAAATTAATTAAATTAAAGATTGATAAAAAATACATAACGAGAAAGAGAGACTGATGGATTCCAAGTAACTGATTATCATATCTAAAATGAATTGTTCAGTTTGCATAGATGTCATTTGTATTATCAAAAGGAACAAATGCAACATCAAAGAAACTATTCCATCAAGTTTATTCGCTCGCCTTGTAGCGTAGCACCTTCGAATACAGCTGACCTCGTTCGAATGACCGATCAGTGCGCATCAACTATGTAACATAAGTAGCGTTCGAGTTCTATGAACGCTTCTCCTGTCTTTAGAGAATAAGTCACTAGTCCGGGTGCAGTCATCTACGAAGTTATATACTACGTTCTATTTATTGATACATTTAAAGTGAAAATAAACTGTGCTTTATTATCGGAATGGAATTATTCATGATCTCCATTATATGACTTTTGCTTTGCAAAAGCTGTCAAGAAAGCTGCAAGCAAAAGATAATTTATAAGAATTATCTTATGTCAACAATTTTATTATTAGATCTTTACAATTATTTACGAATAAATAAAATTATTACGAGATATAATTTAATTTGTTACGAAAACAAAATATTGAATATGAGAGAAATATATTCGCAACGAATTAAAGTAGAAAAATTTACCATAAATTTGGTGATACAAATCATAAAATAACACAAAATATAAACAGTAACTTTATAATTACTTTAGGATGCTACTTTAATGCTATTATTTTACAAGTACAACGCACATGCATGTACGATTATTATTGTTCGTTCCTATTTATTTTTTTAAATAAAAAACAAAAGCGTATGACCTCATATTTTGAATTCAATCAATACTCAATACGCTGTTAATATCATTATCATAGAACTTATGCGATTCAAAGACGAATGGCGTATGAAAAAAATAGGCAACGGAAATAAACAGATGTGCATTATTTATCAAGTTATGTTTTGTCAAGAAACCAACATGCACCTTTAGACTTTAACGGCGAAGTGACTAAGCATTAGAGCTGTATGATCATCTTGAATGTTGAGTAAGAATCACCATATACGTGGTTGCGAAACGATGCATAGAATAACAAAACTTGAGAAACGAGTGCTTCCTTTCGTGAATGAGTCACTCGTGCAACTTTACTACACATGTCAACGTTCTTGCAGTTAATATATCATTTAGACTAATAAAGCGAAGCATATATGTATATGTACCTACGTAATGTCTACCTATTAATATTCTACTGTCTGCTTTATCAAGCATATTTTATCATTTAAGAATAAACATCACTGTTATTAAAAAAAATATCTCTTCTAGCATATATATAAATTTAGCATATATATATATATCTTCAAAATATTAGAATAAAAAAATTCATTAACAAGTCTTAAAACAGGAGGCAATAATTTATTTTTTCATCGTTCGGTATATCATTTATAAATCGTAGACAGTGCTGAAGCAAGATGTGACGCAAATAATTCGGAATAACTGATGACAGTACGACAGCCGATCCCAAAGCTATACATATTTTCATGTATGAATGAAAAAAAAAAACATTCATCATATAGACTTGATTAATGCTTGGACGAGTAATGCAGATATATACATATCCTTCGTTTACTCTCTGATTGAGGATGCTCTGGCAGCTCGAGGGGGTTAAAAATGTCCTGGAACACCGCGGGTATTGTACTCGAGAAGCCGAGAGTTCGCGGTGTTCCCCAAGCGAATCGGCACAGCTGAACACGCGGATGCCTGCTGATGTGCACGTGATTCCGGCGTGCCACGGTTCCGCGGCATCGACCGACTTCCCCCTCTTCGTGGTACACTGATACAACCGTGCCGACGCACACATCCTCCGGTTTGCCCGACACCTGCGACGGTGTGCATGGGACGTATATCGTCCGTCAGATTTAACCCAGAGATACCTGAAACATAATAGGGTATAATAACAAAAGTGTATAAAAATCTAGAAATAAATTGTGTGAACATTAATCCGATTCGAAACGACCGCAGAGTTATAATTGTTTCGATAAGGGTGGATCTGTCTTCGAATACTTGAGTATTTCAAATATTATTATATTATTTTTAAACAAAATATTATACGAAATTCACAGCTTGTACTCTCATGGAAAATTAACTTTAATCTAAAATTGAATTAAAAAGTTCAGATTATCGATTTTCCACCTTTCTGAGTCTCTTAAAGATGCAGGTTCTAAATATGTGCCTTTGTCCCAAGTTATTTAAGACGATAGATCATTCAAGCATATAAGTCAGAATATGGCTATAAAATCAGACTGTGACATTAAAAGATATTAATGTTAATATACAAGTATTATCACACATAACTGTTTCAGATGATCACATTTTACTTTTGTTAAAACTACATTAAATTATTAAATTAATATTCAGTAGATATTTTTAACATACACATATATATCTTTCATGACGTGATCATAGAATATAATCATAGAATTTTATTTTTCCATTGACATAATTTACATTGTTAATTATTAAAGTGTTAGTCAGTCTTGAACGTTCATTGGATATTGCAATCTTTGTTAGTTTGGAAAATTATCAAGAAACGTGTGATGACGTCAAAAATATACTTTTTTCTCCTTCGATTGACTCTTCGTGTTTATCGTTGCAAAAGTTTATCAATTCTAAAAGTGGATGTCCGTAACTGAGGATTACTTTGGAATATCCATGATGTGGATACTGCATAAAAAGGGGTCGTGTGTCCTCGACAGAACTGGAGACAATTCTTACACGTGTAGAAAACGCGAAGTCAGCAAAACTGCACTTGTACTTCAACCTGTAATATTATGCAATGTAACAAACAGGAGCGGACAAAATTGTTGTTTGAACTTAATATTGTCATAATAATTTTCTTCTTTCTTCATTATTTTGTATGCATATTATAAAATTCAACGTGCACC